ATCATTATTTTGACTATTTTTGTTTCTTGTATTTAGGAAATATTCAAATCTGTTGATTTCTGTCAGGCTAATCTTTCCAATCCTTCATCCTGTCAGAGGTTGTTCAAGGATTCAAACGGTCTTGGGTTCGATTATGTTTTCAATTTAGCAGCTGAAACTAAATACGGACAGACAGAGGAGGTAGGCAGAGCTTATACTGTACGTGTGTGTTACCATGCCAACAGGTGTACAAGGAGCTGGTTTATAATGTCAGTGTTAATTGCGCCAGAGAAGCAGCTGCCACTGGAGTCAAGAGATTCATTGAAGTATCCACTGCTCAAGTCTACAACAGTGACAAGGTATGGGACAGCAGTAGCACTGATACATGTACGTGTATCAGGAAATGTAATAAAAATGGAGAATTCTTTCCTTTCCATTTTTGGTGAAATTTGGCCTGAGACCATGTACTATAGTACAGGGACTTTTACTCAATTTCGGAGCAACTTTTAAAACTTATAAAAAGTCCAATTTTAATTCGAATTAGCTCAAACTTTCTATGCAACATAAATGCATGTATATGCATCAGGAAATGTAATAAAAATAGAGGATTCTCACCTTTTTATTTTTGGTGAATTTTGGGTAATAGTACAGGGACTTTGGTCCAATTATTGAGCACCTTAAAATTCATAAAATTCAATTTTGATTGGAATCAGCTAAAGCTGCCACAGAGCACAAGTACATAATTACACATTCGTATTAATTGGTTTTATGTGATATATCGTACATTAGGGAATCAGCTCTGAGGATAGTAAAGTTGATCCGTGGACATTAATTGGAAAACATAAACTGGAGGCAGAGAAATCCCTAGCTACTATACCAGAGTAAGAGAGAGAGAGGGAGAGAGAGAGAGAGGGAGAGAGAGGTATTTGTGGTATGTGAGCTATGTATGAAGATATTGTCAATGATTGTTTAGGATATAATGTGTTATCATAATTATTGACTTTTACAGTTTGAAGTACGTAATACTGAGACCAGCCATAGTCTATGGGATTGGAGACAAATATGGAATAAGTTAGTTATCAGTAATTATGATCAGTAGTAATTGAATTAATCCTTTACCCTATTAGCCCCTAGACTGATAATTGGTGCTGTTTATAGACAGCTTAAAGAAAAAATGGAGGTAAATAGGCACCTATAGTTATAGCTCCTACTGTCCTTCCATTAGCTGCTCTGGACCAAAGACTTGAGAATGGACACTGTTCATGTTCATGACTTGAGTAGAGCAATGTGGCATATTAAGGACACTGGGACCAATGGAGAGATATACAACGTGGTGGATCAAGGACACTCAAGTATGTGATTTGATATTAACATGATATTAACATGATATTAACATGATAGCTCAAGGAAGTATATCAGAATTAGTATCGACCATATTTGGTATCCGATATGGTTACCATGGTACCGTCCTGTCTAACCTGGCGAGACTGAACATGACTGATGTGGTTGATGGTTCCAATGAGAAGCACCTGGGCCCATGGTCTGAGGCTTGCAATGAATGTGGTATCGTTAATACTCCTCTCACACCTTACCTGGATAAGGTACTGTACATGTACATAGGTCTATTATTAGTATATG